TGGATAATATTTGTGCTCGAGCAGAGATACACGCGGTTGAAAAATAGGCAAATGACGTGGAGAGGTTTCCTTGTTGTTTTCAGATTTTAATTTTGTGAATGTTGGTAATTGAATTTGCAGATCGGAGGAAAATTATTCTTCGTTCAATATTTGATAAGGATATCATGGGCATTTGGTGATGTTCTTGCAAAGATTGTTAAGGGATAATTAAGTTGCATTTCCCTTTTGTTTATGTAACGAAAAACACCTCAATTCGATGGATTATCGTGTCAACGGGTCTCGATTTATTGAGCGAGATTAATGATTAAAGAAAAAAAGGAGGGGGAGGAGTAAAAAAGGGTCGAGAGAGGGAAAACCGGTCACCAGGGTACACCCTTGAGCAAATACTCAAGGGGTAATCGGACTGGATCTCCTGTTATTTCAGCTACCCGTGTAATCCCAATCCTGCAAAATCAGGGGGATGAGGAGAAAAATAAAAACTAAGAGGGATTTTTTTTTTTCAGCCCCTGGCTCTGTTTCATGTGAACGCAATCAGGTTTTTAGACGTGATGTGTTTTCACAATTTGCTTTTTCTCATTTTGTTTGTGGAACTATAACTGAGGGAATGCTCCTTATTCTTTTATAGAAAAAAAAATTGTGATAATGTACTAGAATATTTTAGTAAATTCTACCTCGTCCCCTGCTTAGCCGAGACTATCGATTATTCCCTGAGTTTTCATGATTATTCAGTGCCTCACTTTTTTCAAAATTTGCAAAGTTACAAAAAATGTATAAAAATAGACGAACGACGATGAAAACTGCATTTGAGTCATTGAATAATGATAAAACCTAAAAACGGTATATTTTTTCACGTCAACGTAATCCAGGGTCTGTGAGAAAATGAGAAAAACGCAATGAAAAATGAGACGTTGGCAACAACTGTTTAAAATAATTTTTTTGGAGTTTTGCTGGCCGTGTAAATGAGTGTTCCCTATTTAAAATTAAATTGCCTATTTAAACTAACATGTTTCTTTAGATGTACGTATGCCTACCGATAGTGACGGTCATAGTCGGGTAAGCGTATCCGGCACCCAACCACATTAAACTATACCCCTGGCACACTCTGTATAATTAATAAACATTTCCTCGGTATACACGCACCCGTATTCACGACTATGATACGTGATACAAGAAACCGCAAAAGGTAGAAACGATGAATTGTAAATTGCGAGTGAAAACCAAATTTCGAGGTATTCCGAGTGCTCTGAAATTCATTATCATCCGCGAATTGAAAATGACATGAGATGCGAAAGAGAGGACGAAACGTTAATGATTAATTTGCCCGTTCAAATGACCAGCTGATATTTCATTACAATTGATTGAATACCTGAAAAATTGAATTACGGAGGAATTGTGAAATTTCATATTGAATTCATGGCAGTGCTTGTTTAATTTAAAAAAATACTCAACGAATTGGATGAACCTCTTCATATTCGCTAAATTGAATTTCAAGGGATGACTCTTGACGTTTCATTAAAATACCTCTTCGCAAACGGAAATTGAGGGGAAAAATGTGTTCGACCGAGGGAAATTCGAGCTACAATATCAGCAGAATTGAAATAAAATTTTCTGCCTAACAGAACAATTTTTTCCCTCTTCTCATCCCATAATTAATATCACCAGCATGTGGATTGGGCACAATTTCTATTCAACTTCATCCAGCAGAAAAAAAAAAATCCACCGCAAAAATAAATTTGAAGAGTCGCCCTTTCATCCCATCATCGCCCCAAAAAAGCCCTTGGCTGGGAGTAAATTTTGCGTGAAAATAATTCCCAAACGATTTTGTGTCCCCGTTGGAAGAAAAAAAAAATGAAAAATGAAAGATAAAGAGAGATGGTTGGAAGAGATAAAAGGGGGCACAGACGGGGCCTGGCTTATCCCACAGTATTTTTTAAAGCCCCATTTTGTTTTTCTCATTTTTGTGCTTTCTGTTAGTCATCGGAGGGTCGAAGACGGGGCGGATGAGGAGGGAGAGGGTGTTCTCTCTTAAATGCCGGGAGCCACGAAAGCAAACCGTATTTCAGTTGAGTTGTGCAGAGAGGGCCCCAAGGCGCCGCCATTCTCCTCAATGGCGTTTCCCGTGGGCAATTTGCGATCAGGTTTGAATCGAACCGTCGGATAAACGCTCGATTAATAATCGCCTCCTCTCGTCGAAGGTCGATTCAATGGGAAAAATATATAGACGCAAGCGCACGCGATCAAGACGAGGGCAACTGAAATTAATCGAATTCCGAAGGGCGAGAGTACTTTTTTTTCTCATTATCCTCTTTTAATTTACCCCTCACCGAGGTGTTTGGAAAAACGATGCAAAAGTCAATGGCATTCGCGGATACACTGTAATTATATTTGTCACCAGAAATGTCCGAAAAACTTGGCATATTTTTTTCATTTATTCTTTAATTATTATTCAACTTCAAAATGCTGGAGAGCCAGTTTTGGAGCAGTAGAAAGTTTTGAAGGAATTATTTGAGAAGAATGTTCAAGTGCCTTTTTGTGTCGTCCATTAAATTCTTCAACGAGTTGATAAATTGGAGAATGGAGTTTTAGAAGATTGAAACGGTGTAATGGAATAATTCTCGGAATATTCATTTGAAATGTCAATAATTTGGGGGAATTGGGCAAATATGCAGAATGCTGGTACAAACGAATATTTCTACGGTCAGGGGTCGGGGCAGTTTATATACGAGTTTGTTTTTGTGGCCCTGTCGACCCTGACGAGTTGCCTTATCTGATGCCACAAAACGGAGAAAGCCAGTAGCGCATTACAGAGAATATTATCCTCTCTGTTTCTAACATAAACCGAGAATAGAATGCAAGAATAAAAGAGGAATCCATGTTAGCTGATCCTCTTCAAATTATGCAATAATAGAATTCTCAATTGACCAATGCAAAGAGAAATAAGTGAGGAATTGCTTTTTCATTAATGCATATAGTATAGCTATTTTTGTTAATAAATTAGCAGTACACTTCTGAATGGTCATTTGAAAAATTTATCGGCATATATAGCTACGGTATTTATCTCCTGATTTTAACAGTGTACCACCGAAACTATAATTTTATACTTTAATCAAAGTGAATTGGAGTTGAATATCCTCCGACACTCCCACAATTCAAATATTTGGGAAGTACGTCAAAATAAATTTTCCAAACTAGCATTAAAGCATTTCAAAACATTTTTGCTTCAGTTATTGTGAAAAAACTGAATGAAAAAACACACAGAAATGAAAAATATGAGTGAATGAATTAAATTGCACCGAATTGGAGATGAAGTTTGAAAATCTGTTACATATGCACTTTTTGACTTTTTAAATCGTATATTGGAGTGATATAACAGAAGAACTGAAAAACTCAGATTTGATTGATGGCAATGTTTCCATCTGAATGGAAAAAAAAGAAATGAAACCGAGCGAGAGAATTGGAGAGTGTAAAATATTGCGGACAAGCGTAAACAGAAGCCGCGATACAGCCCGAAGAGGAATTACACGCGAATCACCGATTTACTCCTTGAAATAATCAAGATAGAGAGAGTAATCGTCAAGTAGTGTGAATGAAGGTGGAGAATAAAATGACGATTCGATTTGAAATACAGCGTTACAAGTTACCGGTTTTGCTATAAAAGGTAAAAGAAGTTGGGGACAGGGGAGCACTTTCCACGTTGGATACGACCGAGACGATACGCAAGGGGCCAAGGAAGACTCAAGTTAGTGAGTGAGTGAGTAAGGGAGATTTCAATAGAACACCCTCTCAACGTCAGGCACAGGGCCATGTCTTTTCGACCAAAATGTCCCATCCCTCCCTCTCAGTCCATAAAAAAAAAATAAATAAATAAAAATATATTTCACTCCCAACTCTCCCATTTTCCCAGCATTTCGCCTTCTTTTTACCATTCTATTGACGCATTCCTTATTCACATGTCGTACAAACTTGTTTTGCAAATAAAGTAAATGGAATGATGGAGAAATGGGAGTGAAATTTTTCGAATGAAATTTTTAGATAGCGTCTTGTGGAAATATTAATTTCGAGAGTGGAGTGGTGAGATGAGTTGAAAACAGATTTTAAGATTATTTTGTGAATATTTATGAAAGGATTAGACTGAGCGACATTCACTGGGTGAATTTTTTGTTGGTGAAGTTTACGATCTACAAAAAGGTTTTCTCATTTTTTCTCCGTTCCAGGCCCTTCCGAGATAATGGCAAAATAATTCACAGGAATTTTTTCATTACTCGGAAATTAATTCCTGGAGGATTCTGTGGGTATATCAGGAGCCGCTGGTTTTACGACTGTAACTCATTTTTTTTTGCAGATTTCAAGCTCTACTAAAAATGTCTTCATACTTCGCCCTATGCCCATTAGATAAATTTGAAAAAAATGTCTTGAGATCACTCCCTCAGCCTCTCCACTTCAATCTAATAAAATTACATTCTCCTATTTATCAACTGTCTGAAGAATATAATACACTATACAGAAAGGTACTTCTAACATTCTTCTCAAATAATTTCTCCAAAACTTTCTACAGTTCTAAAACTAGCTTCCACTGTTCTACAACACGCCACTCATATTTTAAAAATCCGATATCTAAAATTTCAATGGCCTACCCAAAAACTCAATTTCTATATTGCTCCAGACTAATTCCTCAACGACTGCCGAATCATGAAAATTCCTCAACCATTCATTAAGCCACGACGAAAAAATCCTCTAAAAATTCTCGTCCAACCAGCCCCCCCTTATGCAAATATCGACCTTCAACCTGCGAAATTTCATCTTTCCAGATCAAAATAAAAATTGCCGCGATTGAGAGACACGCCGGCGGTCCCCAGGTGAAATGCCTCCCGCATTCCACGAGGGGTTCAGGTAAAATTAATCTCCGCATCTCTGCACCCATAAATTCCCCCGCAAAAAAATCCCAATCCACCAGGTATAAAGAGGAAAAAAAAATTGATATAACAATTCCGAGCATTTACCTTATTCTTTCGGCCTCCAGCGCTTTTCCTTCGTCGAGTCGTACTCTCCTTTTCTCTCCTTCAGACGCGCAGAATCATCTCGGGCTGCCCCGTAGCCTTCGATCCTTTACACACTTGAAAAGGTAACAACCCCTTATCCACGGAGCTGATTAAGCACTTTTACCATAGGATATTTCGCTGTGGCCGATAACACGCCACCCTCACACAGCTCCACCGGTACTCTTCACCCACACACTCATGTATCACTTTATTTACGATTATTACATATATCCTCCCGACAATTCCGAGAAAATTCCACGAACGATCTCCCAATCGTCAACACACCACAACCGTTTGATTCTGTTTCTAACGAATAATTACGTCAGATGGGCCGATGTCTGTCACCCCAAACACTAGACTCCGGTGTGAGACAACTAACACATGAAAAACTCCAAACAATTTCCTTTCGTTTCTTCAATTCGACTAATCACCCCGTTGTAGCACCGATCCACCAATTTTAATTAAATAAAATAAAAATATTCACTTCACTTCACAAAAAAACTCATTAAAAAATCTCATGGCTTGATTAACGTACGATATATGTTATAAAAAAAGGTCACAGATATGCACACTATCACTCGGATCCTCCCTTTATCTGTTTTCTCGTATTTTATCACTCGAAACTCTCGACGCGGAAAACCTCGTGGCTCTCTCACTCTCTCTTGTCACGACGCGCCGGTTGTCTACGATAAAAGGTCGATCCCACCCCACGGATCGAAGATATTCGAGATAATCGATGCTGTATGCCGTCACTCGTGGATAAGAGCCCCCCACATGAGCCCAAAATAATGAAAATATCAGGTAAGGTTAAACTCGTACGTATCAACGAGGCACGAGTCCACCCTGTTTTCTATTACTGACAGCTATCATGACTCGAATGACACCACCGTTTCACCCAATTATTCAATTACAATATTTGTCCACTGAGTACACACCAACTCGATAAAACAGAAAAAAAAGAATTGTCTGGTCTATGGAGAATCCACCGAACCCTCGAGTGCGTTTCGAACTGCTGGTTATTGCCAAAGTGGGGGAGAAAAGGGCAGAACGAAGGAGAATGAAACAAACGACAGGCGTAAAACGTACCCTTTACACAATACACTGATAAATAATTAAACTTGAAATTCTTCAAACAAACAACCGGCACTTCTCACTCCCTGTTATTCCAGATTATTTTTCATTTACGAATTCTCTAGGTGTGCTCAGAAATATTTTTTCTTGTCAAACTCCCTTCAAAAACGTACCGATTTATCTCACCACACCCGTTGAACCCCTAATTGTTGTCGACAAACGACAAATAAAAACACGTATGAACACGTCTCACAGTCACACACTCGCGTTCACTGTCCTCCAGTGGTGAATCGGATCTACCGGCGGCGCGCATTCCCGTGCTCAACGGCGCTAAAATGGCGATCGAAGTGACAGCTAGTCTCACACCGTACCCAACAACAAGACTTTCTCATCCATATAACCTCAACGCTCCACCGAAAAAATTCACGTACACTTGGAGCAATATATATTCGTTGGATAAATACTGCATTGACAATCCAAGAGGCCCCTCTGTGTCCCGTAAACACTTTTTTTTTTGTCGCCCAATCCGCTTGCGTCTCAACACACACCCTCGCGCACCGCTGCACCCTCTCGACGCTCGATGGCAGTTTTATTATTTCTCGACCCCCCCGTTATAAACGCCGTCGCGCCACCTTATAAAACCGTATTTTGTGCTTGCCCGGATCACTCACGGGACTCAACTGGGGCTCCGTTCTCCCGTAAGCCCTGGTCTACCCCCTCTGCTCCCCACTGCTCCCCACTACTCCCCACTACACCCCACTGCTCCCCACTACTCCCCACTACTCCCCACTACTCCCCACTACTCCCCACTACACACGACATCTACTGGAAGCACTACTATCAGATCTGATAACATTCACCACCGACACTTCTACCAACCGTTTAACAAATTTATACCCCTGGCGATGCTCGAGACGGTCGACTTGGACTCCCACACCAGCTCGGTCAATCCACCTGAATTCCCCTTGTTGTCTGGTTTTATTCTTCTGGTATTTCCTACTACTTTTTCGAAGCGGGAATTCTGGATATCCCAGGCATCCGCAATTTTTGACCTGATGGAGGGGAAATTGCCATTAATTTCGCGTTTTTCGGGAATTCCAGGGGGTCTGGTGGGATCCGGCATACCTGGACCCTCAGGTGGCGCTATGGGAATGCGGGAGGACGTGAGGGAAATATTCGTGGGGTTGATTTTATGGGCTATGGGACGGGCAAAAAGAGGGCCAAGGATTTTTTGAAATATTTCGGAGGCGTGTCTGCGGTTTATGGGATTTTTTTTTCAAGTTTGGAGGAATTCGATTATTTCGATGTCGAGGTCTTCAGGGCTTGGGATGAATTTATTTGGTAAATATGAAGAAGGGGTTGGATACTGGTATTGTTGGTGGGTTGCGCTTTTTGAAGAGATAACATTGAAAACATTTAGTGAAGCGTGAGGGAAAAAAAATGAAATCTCCAACGCGTGCCATTTGTTTGATATTTAAAGGCCTCGCTCTTCCAGGGAAGGCGGACACGTGTTACGCACGTGTGAGCAACACAAGGGAGAAGATTTTTGTGATCAAAGAACACTGGCTTTCGAATATTCCGCGGTACTCGATTGCCTGTGCAATTTTCAAATGTATAATAATTGCAATTATGACTAAAATGCTAATATCATAAAATAATCCAAATAACTTTAAATGATGGCTCATTTATTTTTCAAAAATTTTCTAAACCTATGCAGCTGAACTTCAGTCACAACAACACTTAACAAGGTATACTCTAGATTTTCGGGATCAGCTTGAGCATCAGTGACAGTAGTCTCTTTATACAGCCAGGCTGATGCAGGACTTCCAGATTTAACTCTAACCACCATCGACGTTCTCTCCGTAGCCGTTAATAATTCCTTCTCAATCTGTCCCTTCAGTAAATCGATACCTAAATTAACGAATTCCTTACTTGTTATAGCCTGAAATATTAATGATCATAAAACATTCTGGTCTATAAATTAATGAACCCACCAGTAGAGTTGAGAGCCGACACTCCCAAGATATTTTCAGGCACCGTACCACTCGGTATCATATCACATTTATTCGCAACTTCGATTATCGGTTTGCTCTCAGTGTTCAGATCCGTCATAATTCTTGAAAGTGTATCATGTACGTGCGCTATCTGCGCCCGTTTGTCTGGATGACTCGCATCGAACACATGTACAATAACATCCTGAAACAGTTATCCACTCAGTCTCAACGAGAGAATATTCAATTCCATGACAAACGCAGTAGTTAAGCCATAATTTTCTGGTAAGACAAAGTGTTCTGAGATATCAGCTTTATGCTAATTCTAGGAGGAAGAATGAATCATATAGAGGATGCTGGTGTAACATGAGCATTCATTGAAAATTATTCCACTCTAATTGCGACTACTACAATTTAAATAGCAGTAACTCATATCACCTCGGACTCTCGTATATGAGAGTCAAAAGAACTCACCGCTAAAATAGCATCCTCAAAAGTGGCGACGAAAGGTTCGATCAAGTCCTCAGGGATATCCTGAATGAATCCAATAGTATCCATGTAAAGGACCTTCAATCTACAAGGCAGAAGTCCAGCATGAGCAGTGGTGTCCAACGTGGCGAACAATTTATTCTCAGGCACAAGGGATTTATCTCCAGTCAATGCCTTGATCAAACACGTCTTTCCAGCATTAGTATACCCTACAACAGCTACAGTGGGAATATCCCTGATAGTTCTGTTGCTCCGGATCATTTTCCTGTGCTCTTTGAGTCTCTTTAAAGAGCTTTTTAATTTAGCCTCCCTGGCATGCAGCACCATTCTTCTCGTCTCTGTTAAGTTGATTCTACCCCCGGTGTCCTCCACGGTCCAAGATATCTTCTTCCAGATGTAGGGCAACTCAGCGAGAGCCACCTGAAGCTTTGCCTCAGTCGTTTTTGCGTGCTCCCGAAATATCTGGATGACGACGGAATATCTGTCATAAATGGGAACCCCGAATAAATTCTGAAGCTCTGTCACCTGAGGGATTAATATCATAATATATAAGGTAAATATTAAAGTGATAATTGTGAAGAATTTTAAAACATATGGATTGAAAGAACATTTCATTTTTATTTTAGTTTAGTATTCGCTGACCTGAACATGTCTCAATACATTAACACTGATGAAGACTGCGGTGATATTAGGATTATTTCGGATTTTATTCCTCAGCATCTCCAGGTTTCCTTTCCCGAATAAACTTTTCTTCTGGAGAGACGGCAGTCCAATGCACATTGTATCAATGACTGACCAGTTATTTAATGTTTCTGTGAGAGCCACTGCCTCTTGGAGTTGCATACTAGCTGTAGTATTTTTTTTCTTATTGGACCCGTACCTCACGTAAGGCTGTATGACCATAGCTCCGTGGCCGGCAATATTTGGGTTGAGATACTGGCGTGATATATCTTTGTATTCTGCATCTAGATTTATCTCGGCAAGAGGCGGTCTCTCTTGCTCGGAGGATTTGCTGATGAATCTGGAGACTATCCAGGATTTGAGAGGAATTTTGTTTGGGTTAAGAGAGTATTTTTTCGGAGAGTACGGAGGGAAGAGCTGGGGGAGATGTCTCAGTTTTTGGATTGAAAACATTTTCAACGGTTCGCAGAATACGGAGGTGAGTTGTATTGGTACGTTACGGCGACTTTCCGGTCGCAATTATCCTTTGTGAATTTAGCTGAGTAGTAAAATGAAGGAATCGCTGCAACCAATGCAGTTATTGCTCGGATTTCAATGTTTGTTCGGAGGAATTTCAATCTTTTGAGAGTGAAAGGGATGAGTAATGCACCTGAAAAAAATTAGAAACTCAAAAAAAAAATGTTTAATTATCGGCCCAGGGGACTGATCTATGACTATTTGGGAAAGAAAGCGACATTTTCCTAAAATAAAATTCTTCATCAACCGATCGTTGATTTTGCTTATATTCGCTGCGTAGATGATATAAAAACGTTTGAAGGTGTCAAAGAAGTGAAAATGAAAAATAAAAAGTTTTTTCAAACATACTCCCCACAAGGCCACCTACTCCCGACCAAATAGCTGATTTTGAACAGTCAATGAGTTTATCAGTGAATTGATGTTCTTTAATTGTGATTTTCTCCCCGAATTTTCGCTGCACGTTAGAACTCTCAATACTCATATTTCTTCAATTAGTGAACTGACAATTGTTTATTTTATTCACTGCACTGGTATTGTTTTGGAGCAACACCGGGTTCGCATGAATTCTTTACATAATCCAACATAACCTATGGCTCTTCAGGTGGCACCAAATACTAAAACCAGTGTGACGATACTTTCCCTCGGAAATCAATAAGTCTCAGTTGATTCTGTTTCTGCAAAACCTCGAATCAGTTTCTGACGATTGATTACTGCGATTTTTCCACAGTTTCACGTTTTCGGAGTTACAACAATGAAATCGTTTGAATCAGCTTTCGAGAGTCGAAGAGCCACGTGAGCCCATCTGCCCCTACATTCACGTGCAATAAATTGTCCGTCATTTATGGCAATGTAGCTGTCACAGTGGTCACAGTTGACTTCCCAAATGATTTTTCAGCTAATTACCTAGAGAAAACCATTAAAATGGAGTCCGGTATACTGACCAAAGTACTCAATGACTTCTACACCACAGTCGAGGGTGAACTTAGTCTGTCCAAGGGCGAATATTTTCTGGTACGCATTATCCTCTCTGGCAGGTTACATTGATTACATTCCACTGGTATTTTTATTATTTTAATCTGTTATTATCTCAGATCCATAACGTCATCGATAAGCACTGGTGCTATGGAGTGTCGAAAGACAGGTGGGGCAGTTTTCCATGCAATTATCTCCTCAGAGTTGAGGTGCCTCAGTTCAAGGAGGCAGAGAGTCTTTTTGTGTCGATTGCTTCTTTTCGAGGAGAACAACAAGGGGATTTAATTTTTGGCGAAGGTAAATGGTTCGTTTCCATTTTCTTTTTGTTATTCTCGTTGTAAAATAATGAAAAAGGGGAGGGAAACGAATAACGAATGTTTATTTTTATTGGCATTTCAGGTGAATTGATTATTGGAACCCATGAAGTAGAGCCTGGATGGTACTCTGGTTATATTGATAATCGAACAGGAGTTTTTCCTCTGACGCACGTTTGGATTGTCGATCTTACAGTTCTTAAGGTAATTTCGGAAAGTAAAAAGTATTAATTCATTGAGGATGGGATAAAGCTTTAGGAAACAGTATACTTTCTCGTAATCTTGCAAGTTGATGAAAAGAATATCAGGGAATTACTAAAAAAAAATGTATTATCGTTCAGAAACCATCGGACAAGAAATCTGTCCGTAGAAAAGCCCGCGTGAAGACGACGTTGAAAGCCCAGTTGGAGGAAGAACTCGACTTGTCAGAAGGTGAGATAGTTACAGTAACCGAGATCCTTGAGGACGGCTGGGTGCTGGGATATACCTCTGACAACCGCACAGGAACTTTCCCAGAGGCCTTCATCACCTACCTGGAGACGATGGACCAGCCAGACAATGCTTCAGGTTCCCTGGACCCTATTCCCCAGTCAATCACCTCTGGTGGAAAAATCTACAAGGACTTCGGTGATTCCACTCCCTCATGCAGCTACTCCGAAGATGCAGCACCATCTTACTACGACCTTTTCCCAGATACTCGACCCTCCGACAATTCGCAGCCTCCCACCGTCTCTTTTCCTTCTACAAATCCAAAAGGATCCTCTCCCCAGCCAGAACTCGACAATTTAAATCCTCTGGGTGTCCACCCCTATGCAATCACCCTTTATCCCTTCAACGCTCAATTTCCGAACGAATTAAATTTCGAGGCAGGTGAAGTGGTGCACCTGCTGCGTCATATTGACACAGAATGGGCAGAAGGCACGATAGAGACCTCCAAAGGCCTCTTCCCCACGTCCTACGTCAATATAATCGTCGACTGCAGGAATTCTCCTCCTCCCGAAGCCCCCAAGGAGGATGCAGAGCATCTTCCCTTGGAATCCCTCCACCCTGGAGATTTAGCCACCGTAGAATATACTTTCAACGCACAAATGAGTGGAGACTTGAGTATAAAAGAAGGGGACTCCGTAACGATCGTGGAAATGGCCAACGACGACTGGGTATCTGTGAAAAACACCTCTGGAGAAGTTGGACTTTGCCCCAGAGGATATCTCTCCAAGCAGCCCTCGTCTCAAGCTTCTCTGGAGCTATGCGAGGCCGTAGTAATTCGTCACGAACGATCAAAGACACCAGAGGAGCAGAACATTCGGAGAAAGTCAGACCCTCATCGTCCAGCACCTCCTGCTCCAGCTCCAGGGTCCGTTCCCCTGCAAAAAAGTCTTGCCAATAATCAGGAAAAAAATCAAACATCAAATCAGGAGGAAAACGAGACTATATCGACCAGCTCTCCAGAACCCTCTTCATCGAAGCAAAAGAGGGCAGATAAACGTCAGAACGTCATCTCCGAATTGGTGATAACTGAAAAAGAATACGTGAGAGATCTGAAAGTAACTTACGAGACATTCAATCTGTATAATCCAAGTCTCCTGGAGACTCGTGGAATCGACGTGGTCATTCTTTTCGGAAATATTCTGGAGGTAATTCACGTAGCAGAGGAACTCCTGGACGCGATCCTCCGAGCCATGAAGGGAAAGGATGAGAATGTCCAGACTATAGCTCCCTGTTTTCTCGTTATGAGAGATAAACTCCAGACGACTTATGGAAAATACTGTGGGAACCACGAGGCAGCTCTCAGTCTCCTGAAGAAATACGAGGAGAACCGCGAGATAATGATCGTCTTCGAGAAGGGGATAGAGACCCTTCGTCACCAGGTCGTCTGCTTCGACATGAGTTCCATCCTTATAAAACCCGTCCAGAGAATTTTGAAGTATCCACTGATGCTTTATGAACTTGTCAAATGCACCGAGGATGATCATCCTGACAAACAGGGGATCGAGCAAGCGTGGAAAGTTATGACTGAAGTAGCTTCCTACATAAATGAGTACAAACGACGTAAGGATATCGTTTCAAAGTACCTTGACACCGATAACACTCTGATGGCGAAGATGTCCAAGTTAAGTATGCACTCGGTTGCAAAAAAATCAAGTAGACTCAGTGCAAAACTGTCAGCGAGCCTTGGAATAACGAATATCCCAGCAGATCCAGTATTCGAGGAGCTCGAGAGGCAATTTAAAGCCCTCGAAAAATGCAGCTGGCAATTTGCTACAGATATAAATCATTGCATGTATTATTTAAACGAGGAGACCGATTGTGCTGAATTATTATCAGATTTTCTCAATCAATATCATTACGGGAGCAATGACAATGAGGTGAAACGCTTGAGTGAAGCCAGAAAGAGTATTTCCTCCCAGTTTATTAATAGTTTAAAGGAGACTATTGAAAAGAGGGTGAATGAACCTGTGGCTTGTCTCATTAATCTACTCGAAGGCCCTGCACTGTTAATTACTAAACGAGGGGATAAATTATTGGATTATGATAATGCTATATCGAAGGGGGAGAAGTACAGGGAGTCCAGGGCTGTGCAGGAGGAATTAGCTGATGCTAGGAATAATTATGAGGCTTTGAATCAACAATTGCTGGAGGAGCTGCCTATTTTTATTGAAGCAGGTACTTCGATCATAGCCACCTGTATCGAGGCCTTTGCCAATGCCAGGAAACTATTCTCTGGGAGAATTACCAAGAAGTATTTGACACTGTCGGAGTCTGCGACTCAGGTGACACCCCAGGATCTTCTCCAGTCATTTTTGATTAATCATAATTTATTGTGGAATCAGATATCGAGGTTCAGCTTTGCTGGGGTTAATCCGAAAGTCGAATGTCCTACTGTTGAGGTATCTAATCAGAATGAGAAGGATAAGAAGACACTAATGGGGAAATACCACAGGAATAGTTTGTTTGTTGTGAAGGATAAAGTTGTTAGTACTTCATCGTTCGATTTGGGAGCAGCTAGGGGGACTGTAGTAGCTGTTATTAAAAGACAGGATCCTATGGGGGACACTACGAGATGGCTTGTTGATAATGGCTCTGTTAAAGGATTCATTCACAACAGCAGTCTGGAGCCCATCCCTCAACCTCGATCACCCCAAAATAACAACGATGTCGCTGACTATGGAAATGTTCCTGGGGATCTAATGAGTCTGGATTCACCTGTTAAGGAAATAAAAGAAAATTTGATCAGCCTTGACTCACCTATCAAGCAGAGCAGCTCCTCCATTTCGTTGCAAAATTCTCTGTATGAAAATTTGGGGGATGATAATGAAAATCAAAGGGTTGGAGTACAACAGAGCAGATATCAAAATTTGGGAAAGGAGTTTTATTACGCTGAATTTAATTTCGAGGGAGGCATTCCTGGGACACTACCTGCCAAGAGAGGAAGAGTACTCAAATTAATTAGACCACATGACGAGAAGGGAAATGGAGAGTGGTGGCTCATGGAGGACAGGGATGGTTGTTCTGGGTATTTTCCGAAGAACTATCTCCTACCCTTGGAGAGCAATAAATCCTAGCCATGATTAACAAATGCTTGAGTTAATTTTCTATGAAATGGTTTGTTTTTTTATGGAGAATGAACTGTTTTCATGCCTGTGATAGCCACGTGCAGTTTTTGCGAAATGCCAACTATTTTTTATTCGTATATTGGGGACCCTCTGTGTTTGCACTAGATGTGCGATCACTGATATTATTTATTTATGTTATGATTTTTTGCCATTTTGTGGAGAAATTATTATTGTATATATGATATTCGTACTTATAAGGATTTATGTGTACAATCTATTTCGAAGTCTTTATTTTTAGTTTCATCGCACCTAGTGTATATTATGAAAAATATAAGACCCATTTATTTTTCAATCATTGATCCATTTGTGTTTTCGTTTTATAATAAAATATAAAAATAAATTCTGGTCTAATTTGGCTTATAAAATAATTTTGATAATAAATAATCTCCGGGAAACCGATGAGTAGTATTTTTTAATCTCAACATAACTTGTTCCTAAAACGAGGGAACGACTGTTGCGTGTCATCGCTTCATTACAGAAATCATATGTGCTCATCCTCTATTTGAAGTTTCTGAAGTTGAAGAAATTGACAGAATGGTAATGGCAATGGCTATTCAAGCACTCAATTGTAGTGCATTACATCTACGCCGCAGCGAGGTAAAAGTTGGCGTGATGTAATTTTTATTGAATTGACCTCACGTTCATTTCTATTAGCAAATCGACGTTTCTAATATTGAACATAAACGCTATGACATGGATAACATTTAATAATAGAGTAATATATTTCGTACAAAATTGTATCATATAAAAACACGCATTCCTGAGGATTAAACAATTTCCATATTCAATTCTTACTAAATGAAATTACTGTGTGAGTTGCGGACAAAGTCCTTTTCTCCCAATCCATAAATTCTCAACTGTTGTTTCCTCACACTGTCCAGCTATTTCACAAGTCGACGAACCTGGACACCACCCGCACTCATAATTTCTCCCAAAAGACAAGCAGGAGATGCAGTTATCCGCCATGAATCGACATTTATAGATTATCAGCTTGATGTCCTTCGGATTCGATAGTTCTTTTCCGCCGTACAGTACCCAAACAGGAAGTTGAACGAACGGCTCGTCACTGGGATAAGAAAAGTGAGCATTGCCGCAGTAAATGGTGTCCACCAGCAGATTTGCACTGGTGATGATGGCATCAGGACCATCACCGAAGCGACATGTGAATCGAAACACTACCGTGAACAACTGTAGGATTGACAAATCAATTGTATGAGTGGTATGACAAAATTGTTATTGAAAATTCCGGAAATTTGTACTCACATGCTTCATCGAAACCTTAATCTTTACCATCTTCTGGGTATCAGAAGGAACAGTTATGTTCCTCGAAGTGACTATTCGGGGGCAAAACGATGCTCCTTTGCGATTTATTTCACCAGAATACTTGAAGAGGATGAAATAATTATTTTATACATACTCTCAATATAAATGGTTAATTAACCAAATTTATGGATGCTTTCTTCACACTTACATTTTCATTTTCAATTGATTCAAAACTACCAGTTGAATTATCCAATCCACTATTCGGAGATTTACATAAATTTTCATCGATCTCCCAAATACACGAATCACTTGACTTCACGCACTCCATGCAATCCCTCAGTGAAGCGCAATTATCCATTTTCAAATCCTCACTTTTTATAATTTTCGAAGTGGTAAGAGTTTCCACTTCAGTCGTAGCAACAATCATCTTTTCTGTCATTGAAAAAGCCTCTACTGCACCAGTGATTGCATCAGTTGCCTTTTGTGTAACATTTTCCTCTGAAGCAGAAGAAATATTTTCTGATTCGTTATCTGTAGAAATTTTTTTCTCTTCCGTTAAGAGAATTGTTTTTTCTGTTGCCATTGAAGTAGACGGAATTGTTTCTCCTCTCGTCGTTGACGGAACGGTCGTTTCTACAGTTGACGACACAATTTCGTCGTCTGAAATAGTAGAAACGGTCGTTCCTGGACTAGACGATGTAATTTCATCTGTGGAAATAGCGGTATCTGTTTCTGGGGTAGTTAACGCAGTTGTGGAATTAATTTCTGAATTGTCTTCAGCAGAAATATCAGTAACCACGAGACATAAAAAAACTAAAACGACATATTTGAATTTATTCAACGAGTATAATGTGTCCTGCTGCATATTTGACGATAATTCGTGCACTTGCAGTGATGGGATTACGACTGACAACTGAACTGTGACAGTCGCAGTGATGTAATTTCTATTGAATTGACCTCACCTAGATTTTTATCAGAGGATCTCTGATCCAGATACATTGAACTTCAGCGTCACGACATGCAGATTCATATCAAACAACTCCTACAGTCATTAGTTCACATGATTACACAGTATTACTCAGTACGAAATTTTTTAATATAAAAACGTATACAATTTCCCCTATAATACAATTTTGGCTCGTTGATTGTTAAAATATACAATTATTTTCAAACAGAAATAATGTCAGCCGCGAAATTTTTCGCCGATGAATTCCTGAGGATTAAAACCTTGTTTCCAAACCGTATCCTTCAAATAAGAGCCAGTGGTATCATTTGCCAATAATCCCTCGACAATCTCCTTAAATCCCAGCTGACTCGCTAATACGTACTTGGCTTCAATATCATTTAACTCGACGATTAAACTCTGCATATTCAACGTCATCTGTTTAGTTATCACTTTTTCAGTTCGATATCTGCAATAATTTTATTTTTACTCATTATCGAATTACCATTAAGTTTAAATGAACGAATTACCTGTAAACACAGTCCTGAGCTATAGCATTCGTAAGTCTCTTAGATGCGAGAAAATCTTTCAGATATTTTCCCTCACCATGAATGATGACATGTTGATAAATAGCGCTGGACCAATCGGCATTGTGCGCATAAGACTGGACGAGAATGAGAGCCTGCGGAAAAGTCAGAGTCTGGCAGATAGATCTATTGATTTCCTCAGTAGTGAGATTCAACAAGCAGGGTGCCTGTTGTCCCTGGGCCACTGCACTGAGCAACGAAATCTGAAGAGCCACGAGCTGTGCCTGATGACAGCACTGATTCGCCAGATTCAGTTTATTATCTCTCACATAATACTCAGTGGCATGTGTGTAATTCGTCATGGCACACTGGAGCTTCCTCTCAGTCCCATCATTTCTCGTGAACTTGACACTCTGATTCAGCATCAAGGTCCTGATATTCTCCCTTCTAGTGTCCCGGATGAGCTCTCTAATGATTCCCTTGGCTTCATTCTCCCACATGACAGCAATTTCATTGTACAACCGAAAATGATGTGACACGAGAATAAACAGCTCCTTATCCACAGGATACTGTTTTTTACAGAATTCCAACAATGCAATCTTCAGACCCGGGACCTTATCAGTTCCAATGCCCAACAAGAATTCAAATTGATCGTTTTCCCGTAAAATCTGGAGGATATAATTCATCTCGGTGAATCTGCCAACCCCAGTCATCAGTCTCACCAGCAGACTCCAGAGTTTGAGACTTTGAAGAGTATTCGAGAACTGCTGGCACTTCCTGAGGACTGAGGCGATTCCCTCCATGCAGCAGGATGCTGTGAAGCAGTGGTGAGCTCTTATCAGCAGCTCAACCACAATCTTGAGGATGTTGACGTCTCTCTGGGCTCCTAGGGACTGCCCCAGCCTCATTGACGCACCCTTCAGTAGCTCCCACCCCAGCGACGAGGAATCATCACACAGAACCGTTGACAAGGTGAAGGTGACGTGCAGAGGATACCCCCACATCAGCATAGATTCGTCAAGATTCTCCTCCATCTGTTTTGTAAGATGCAACACAAGCTCCCCAGCCCAGAACTTGGTGATTTCAGTGTTCTTTATTCTGTAAGCCGTGACGACTTCCCTCATCAGTGCAAATTTATTTGCACGATTGATGTTGGTAATCTCGTACAGCAATTCCATGGGATCCCTAGACATCAGTAGTGTCCTGTAGCTCCTCTTCAGGTAGATAGACAACTTATAAAGTACGAGGACCTTGCTCCCCACGTCCCTCCCATGCTCCAGATTCTTCACCAATTTCTCCAGCAATGAGAGACAGTCAAATTGATGGTCAGTCGTTGAATTTGTGTCGTTATCATCGATACTGGAATTCAGAGGAGAGGATGATGAAGCGGATAGCCTCCTCTGAGGCCCCCGATTGGTCAACGTGGAGGTCTGGCTTATTTTCTTGACATTTGAATCATCCAGCAATAATTGATGCTGAGGTGACAGCTGAGATGGAGACAATTCCCCCTCAGCCAGAGACAAACATAACATCAGAATCTGTAAATTTTTATGTTTATAATTGAATATCCGAGAGATCCTGAGGGCTGTCTCGAGATCATCGACATTGAGGAATCGATTTATCAGCGCATTAATCGCCTCCTCCTCAGACTCGTCGTTCAGCGAGCAACTGACTCTCAGATTGCTGATCCCAGACAGCAACTCAGTCTTTAATTTGTTGAAGTGCTTCTTCTCTCTCAGTATCTCTATCGCAGCTGGACCTGCCAGGATGCACGCCTTCCACATCGCCATCTCCACAGTGTCGATCGTCTGCTGATCCGTGGAGATCGGTTTCAATGTCTTCAGAGCGAGCTCTAGGATCTCGTACATCTCTGTGTAAGATTCAACCTTCTCTGCGTGCTCTATGAAGAATGCAGCAGCATCCTCGAAGCATACTTCGTATTTTCTGATGTCGTGAGCGCATTTATTCCACAATGCTGAATCTGATTTGCTGGTGGCGCTCAAGAGACGTTTCTTGAATTCGTTTCTATATTGCTCGAGGATAATACTGGAGCAGGGGAGGTGGGCAATTTTGGAAAGCTCCAGAGCACTTTGAAAGTCCTCAATCTCCACTAATTGTCTTATGCAGCGTTCGATCTCCTGGGTTAATGTAAACTCCTCTTCAGACAATTTTATTTGATCGAAATGGATTTTCACTGTGGTTTTTGACAGTATCGTGATGATCTCCAGAAGCGACTGGAAGTCAGGCTCGTCTATATGCACCTCCTCGTTGAAATTACAGTCGACGAGAAGACTCAGGAATTTCTGTTGGAGGTGAATACTGAGAAAACTGGAATTCAGGGATGATATAATGCACTCAATGCAGACTGTTGCTATCCAGTACTCGTTGTTGAGGTAACTGATGTCCGAGTCGTTCCAGTCGATGGTTTTGTTACTATTGAGACTTGAGCAAGTGTTGATGAAGTCAACTAGGATCTTCTGGCTTTCCTCGAATTCATAGAATTTGGTGCATTGGAGGAGAAATTTAAAGAACAGATGGATGGGATTCTCTGGAAGGAAAATCTCGAAGCCTTTGGAGAGGGTGTCGGTGTATCCCAGGGAGACTAGTTTGCGGAAGAGCTCGGAAATCCTTCGGATTGGCCAGATCTGATCGTTCAGGCAGTCGGAGTAGTCGTTGAGAAGGTCTTTGTTCTCAATGGAGACGACGAGCCAGGAGTAGCAGTAGGAGGCCATTGACGAGGGCTCGTAACAAGCTGCCAGGATTATCATCACTGATGAGGAGGTTTCCTTGGCCTCTCTCAGGAGTGCCCCAGGAGGATCCTGACTCTGATGGCACTTCAGGATTGTCAACCAGAGGTCCTGGTCAAAGGATGGCTGATGGTGGGAAGTGAGGAATGGATCGTTTTTTAGAGGAGATTCTGGGGAACTCTGAAGGGAGATCAGGGGTGAGGGATTGGGAAGATAGTGGCTGTGCTTTCTTTGGTTTTGTCTTGAAGATTTAGGTTTTTGATGGCCTGAGTTGGTTACCAGGGTTAGGTGGGAGTTGTTGAGACATATCATCAGGTGTTCGCGGATTGTCAGGTCTTCGAAGAATCCCGCATTTTCCAATATTTGATCCAATTGATATCGAAAGATATTTCCAATAAAGGCGAACTCAAACCAATAATTTCTCTTTGCTAAATACTTTAGAAAGGATGTTGGAGGCTGCACGTTGTGAACCCTTGCAAATCTCACGATAAATTCCCAGGCCTTTAAACTCTCAACGAATTCGATGACGTTATCCATTGATACTGAGGGGAATTCTACCGCAAAACTCTCCTCCAAATGGTTCAAAAGAATCCCCAAATCTTTTGCGTTCTGATAGGCTACGGACTCGAGGAGGTCATCTGAAAGTTCAAACGAAAAAATTGATATTTCGCAATTCTCAATTTTATCTCAACTGAAGAGATTAACTTGCTACTTTAAAAAGGGGAAGGGTAGATCTTACTTATCGAAATGTTTAGTTTACTCTGGATGTAGTCGGCTGCAGTTGCGTGGAGCCTCAAACACTCTGAATCGATTCCGAGAAATTCGATGAAGCAAATGCAGGTGGAAATGATTTCTGGGCTGTCTAAGTTCTTCAGGGCGAATTCGTGAGCTTGAAAAGAAATTTTCGATTTCCTGAAAAGGTAAAATATCTTCATTATTCTATGAAGTGTGAAAAAATCAATTGGTTGATTTCGGAAATAATTAAGTGGTCGAAAGGACTTGAAAATAATTAAATATTCTCACATTTTAGATGATAAATTAGCCTGTTTCCCCTCAGGGTTCAACAGAACGTATGCAGCCATGCTGGGACGTGCCTCCTTCAGATAATATTTGTAAGTCAATGTCTCCTTGTGTCCATACTTCTCTATTAAACTGGCATTAGCAAAATTAGGCATTTGCTCGTTCTCGAATCTCCACCTGAATAACTCACGAATATTCAAATTCTTGTAACCATCCAGGAGATGGTACATGGTAATGTCGTTCTCCTTCCGTTTATTCTCCAGACAGTTTTTGACGTATGGAATTTTTTGGAGCAGATCTGCCATCATTTCCGGTGAGATTTCGATGTCGTCAATAATTATTGAAGTTTGAGTAGTTAAGAGTTCTTCGAATATTGGACATTCTTCTGCATTTTCTCCTCTGGTTTTCGACTCTAAATATTTCAACAAAACTAGATAAAATGTGAGTAGAGGCTGATTTTTTAAATATTCCTGAGGCTCATCGGAGATTTTGTGAATTGTCCTACAAATTCCTGTGATTAATTCCTTGAAAGAATCTTGAAATTCATTCAATCTCCTCAAAGATCTCAATAATTCCTGATCCTGGACATATAAACTCTCATCGGAATTCTCTTCATTTTGGTAGAATAAAATAGAATGTCGTTTTCTTGAAAATTCGTTTGTATCCAAATTACACGAACTTTTGGATAAAATTCTGTTAAAATTTTCGGGAGTCACTTCAGCACTAAAAAATCGTGCAAGAGTTAAAGCCATTACGTTTCTCTCCCTGTTGATGAAAATTCCGTATTTACACAAGTGATTGAGCAATAATTCTTTGAAGGGAAAGGATATATTAGATTGTTCAATCCGTTCTATCATTTCCATCGATATTTCCAAGCCATCGAATACTTCGATAAGATCGGATTTAACCTCTTGCAGTTCCTCCCCGAATTTTCTGTCAATCCACTTCATCAGGAGTTCGATATTATCTTCAGTGAGGAGATAATCCCACACTGTAGAACTTTTTAGATTCTTTGCAAGGCAAGTCTCATAGGTATGGAAATATAATTCCGTCAAGAGTGGAGTCTTAACATTCTGGGGAAGATTCAGCATCTCTTCGATGGAAATTTTCTCAATTGAATGGCCATCGAGGGTATCCCGTGACAATTGAATCGTCTCATATTTTTTAATACATTTTATTGTCTCCCAGGCATCAATCTGCTCCTCAGAAAATCCCTTATTCTTCAATACATGATTTGCTAAATAATCTCGCAGCTCCGGGTCTCTGCTTTTTATGCAGATATCGGTGATGTAGACTATTGGATTTTTTCCCTATTGCAATATTTATTTTAAATAATTTTTCTATAATTCTTCTTATGATTATTGTATTGAATTTACCCCAGAAGTACTCACCACTTTCTGCAATATGTGTGACGCCCGATGAATTTGTTTCTTCACCAGGAGTTCTCCAATCCAAACCTCGACTTCTGAATAAAAATATTTCTGTGCCTCTGCAACGGTCCAGTGCCTGCGATAGCCAAGAAATTTGAATGCCAGGTTGATATGATTCCCTTTGGCGGAGGCCTCTCTGACAACCTCTCGATCCCCCATGCTGGTCCATCCTGACCAGACACCTGCCAATTCTCCGGGTGTCAAACACTCCACAGGAATACCCCCAACCACATCCATCCTCTCCTCGTCTGCTCATCAGTTTCGTCTTACTGATTATCAGGATGCCTGTAGTCCACGTTCAGCAGCATCCAGGGGCGACAACGAGTAAAGACTATGCAACCCCATCAGACTGCACAGTACGCCTCATTATTACTTCCCAATTAGACAAAAGACGTCGAGAGTGCAAAGTTCGTAGCATTACAAAAAATTTAGTTATCAATGATTAGAGATTGCTCTAGGACAGGCGAATATAGAGCGATTGCACTCAGAAATCAACAATTGCAACGAAAAAACGTTTTAATTTAACAAATTGACATCTGATTCTCTAATATTGATTATTTATTATTGTTGATGCAAGTTGACAAACTAGAGGAGTACAATTTGACAATTGAGTTATTACGAACTTTGAAAAACCCGACCAAAGAGGATTGAATAAAGTAGAGGCTCAGTTCTGGGGGTTTAAGTGACCCCAACGGCATTGTAGTACTGCACCCCAAAAGAGAGAGGGCGACACACGCAATGGGGGTGTCTCCCAGCAGCCGACTCGGTAACTGTCTCAGTAGCAGTTCCGCAGAATTGAACTTTGCATGACTTCATGGACGTGGGAAAAAAGAAATGGAAAGGGAATTATTTATACGCTTTTTTAAACATTGCGCCTCCAATTATCTGGAGGTTTGAATTTTATTTGCAATTAATATTTACAATTCATTTCCAGATATTGCATTTTTTCGAAGGATTTACCGAGGAATTCTCTGGGCAATTAAAAGCTGCTGCAAAAGCTGCGCTGTTGGAGACAGCACCGTTGATTCGAGCTCTTGCAGGACTGTGGACGTCTTCAGGGCTGTATTGCTGAAGATACATATCACTCTCATATGCACACCACAACTGAAAGCCCACAGATTCAATGTTTCGATATCTCGTATGCAGTCGAGAGTCGACGGATGAAAATAAATGTCGTATTTACATTTCCGAATGACAGGAAAAATATCTGATCATCAGTGAATCGCTCCAATTCAGAGATGTTCAAACCACTGGTGCCATGTTTATCACGAAACATCTTGTACGCGTCCCAAGTCACTTGTAATCCAGTGGAATCCGATATATTTTCTTCTAACGTCAAGGTTCCATTCACCTGAGATATATATTATAATCACAAATATAATTTTAGATAATTCAATGAAAATTGAATAGATCTCACCGGAATCCTAATCCTGTCATTTTCATATATCGTATAATTATTGAACTGATTTACAAAACATTCTGCTTGCTCTTCATATTTGTCAATATTCGGCTGCGACCACCAAGTGACCACATTACCATTTTTGTCGAACCGACGGCCTGAAAGAATTCTCATTCTTCGATTTATAGGATCACTCTTCATCAATAACAATCAATTATTTGATAATCAGTGATTTCGTCAGCTTACCGCTGTTATCCAAAGCGTGTGATATTTCATGGCCAATTGTTGTTCCAAGCATTGCATAATTCATCACGCTGTAATTTTCATTATTTTTCACAGACTCATTGCTTTTGTTCTATTAACATACATTACCTAGGTCTGTTTTGGCTGAAGAGAGGTAGCTGAAGAATTCCAGCTGGTACCACTAAAGATTTCAGTAGTACAGTGCCGGTAATATTATTTTCTAATAGTATAACACATTACGCGCATTTCTCCAATATCCTTAATACTCACCCATTGTATTCAGAACAGGTATATAATAAGCATTGATAGCTTTCGGTTCGACTGGCCATCTGTGAAATCATTAAATGTAAATTTCCGGGAGCTGATTTCATAAAAAGTTTATAAATATTAAAAAGTTACATCGCGAATTTTTGTGAATGTCTTTTCGTGATTAAACGATGATAAATATTTTGATTTGGACTTACTCTTTCTTGTTTGTCGGCTTACGTAATTCTCTTAATGCTCTTTTCATCTGAAAGACGCGGCTCCTCATTTCGTTCTCGAAATAACTATCTGTTGGTGTAAACTGCAGAAAAAATAACATGCAGGAAAGTTCAGCTTACCATGGGTAAATATCATAATTCCAACTCGATGTTTTACCTCTGCGTAATATTCATTGATATTACTATCAGTGTATTCGTCTGGATAACCGATGAATTTAATGATGGCATCGATTTTCTCAGTAGCCAGATTCTTCGTCTCATTATCAAGCCAAGTTGATTGTTGGATATAGTTTTTCATAGCTTCTTGAATATTCCCCACTAATTCTTGGACCTAGAAAATATCAGGAGCATGTCTCTACTTGCATGAAGAAACTCATAACTCGAAGATTGACAAGAAAAGCATATCATATTCCAAGAAAAAAAACTTCCGTGAAAAATATAATTTATTCATAATAAAAGATCCAAAAAATGAATCCATAAAACTATCTAGCTGAGTGAATTTTCGAATTATCTTTTCTCAAATCCGAAAGATTTCAAAGTAAAAACTACTTGAATTTTTTGGAAGAAGTACAAAACCTCTCGACTAAAGTTTTTCTCTCACAAGTTTTTTTATCTTGGAAATTGTTGACTCTGATTTTCATCATACAAGTAGAGTCGCTTCTCCAATAGTATTTTTTTTTTCTCAGTATACAGACAATATTAAAATAAATTTCATCTCAAATACCGCCTCTTTCGATTCTTCCGAAGAGTGTTCCTTAACAAATAAGTATGAAGCCGCCCGCCCCATCTGCTCCAAAGACACACAGTCGTATTCCCTAAAGGAAAAACAATGAATGAACGAATCGCAATTGGAGATTTAAATCATGACTTCCGAATGACACGGACCTGGTTCCAATTGGATCTGCCCCAACGCGTCTATTATTGAAATCTGACAGCAGCATTCTTAGCTCGTCATTGGCGTAAAGAGAGACATCCGTAATTACACACCATACGATGTAATTAACTACGAGGTCGAATTAGTGAATGGAGGTATTTACACACATTGTATTCGATCTGTAAAATTTATTTTTTCATTAATGGAACACATTACCGATAGTCTCCGGTGCAGTTTTATTCAGCAAGGCAGCAAATTTTGGAAAAAACTCTTTCCCCGGTACAATTATCGGTTCCGATCCATTCACTGTGATTTCCGGAGTTAATGTAAACATATCCCTAATTGTCTCGAGCCAATTAATCTGCAAAGAGTGCAATCAGCGATTTTTTGGATTAATTTTTCTGGGAATTGCTGTATGTATTTTACTTGCGCAGTTGGACTTGTCATATTTGCGCTGTCATATAACTCTTGGAGCTCGTCGATTGTCATCAGACTATACCATTCATCGATGTTGTTGATACCTTGTTCATCATGTGTAATCTGCGATATAATAAATACGTATTATTAAAAAATTGTGGAATGATAGATCCAGTCATACCTCTGCTAGTTCCTTCTCAAAATTGTTCAGTTCCACTAGCAGTGAAACGTTTCCTAACTCCTCTTCAACCGATGATCTTCTGAGGAATATATCAGTAACTCTGAGTTTGTAACCGGTGTAGGCGAAAGACTGCCTAAAATTCTTTGAATCAACCAATTCCTTTTTCTTTAGAACCAGATTTGGTTCAGAAACCTGCAACATTACGATCAATGATTGTTAATTCATATCTAAAATTTCCATTTGTCATCTAGAAATAATATTCCGTCTCTAAACAATTGTTTCTGATTATTCAAAAAATAAAAAGAACCACAAGTCTGGTGATTGAAGAATTCTTAACGTCCGGTGGCATTTGAATCGCAAATAAAGCTTCAACTCCCAGAGTCTTGAGAAACCTAGAATGTATTTGTTGCCAAGTCAGATTTTTCGCTTTCCATTCGTCGGACTTCATTACAAGTGGCCATCCTCCGTTGTCATTAACTAATTTTATGACAGGCTTTGCACCAGCTGCTTCAATTGCGTCTACAACATTTACACATATTGTCTCTTGGTTTAACAGGTTTTAGGGATAGCTACTACCTTTATTCATGCACGCCTGATAAACCTTTCGAGCTTTTCGAATGGCTTCAATGTCAGTTTCTGAATTTGCTCTGGTCAACAAATCCTTTATCTTAGGTCGTACGCTGTGCGAAATCAGGTACCAGTTTGACCAGATTGGGAATCCCTCGGCTGGAGTATGCTGATTGGTCCACTGGCCACACGCGTACTCGTAGAAATCGTTACACGGATCTGCTGATTCGTTCAAACAGTTCACCAGGTCATTGCCTGGTTGGAAATTGTCAGACTGTTTGACAGGCAGGGATTTCGATAGTGAGAACAACGAGAGAATGAAAAGTCTGCGAAAAAATAGAGTGATGTAGATTTTATTGAGTCTCAGACTGAGGGCAATACTTACATCATGAAATAGCCAATATTCCTCTGTTTTAAGCGAATCATCCTTGGAGGTAAAAATATTAGAAGTCTCACCGAAATTTACGACCGGCTATCGGACCAGTGTGCGGGAAACTAATGCTTACTCGAACTTCCCAAATGAATACGGATCACTAAGAGGTCACGCTTTGTAATTCAAACGACATAAAGTAGGAAAACCAGTCCATTGTTCAATGATATTCGATGAAATATTTTGATTTCGTAACAATCTAAACTGAAACTATAAGACATGAACAATTTTGAAGTATCATCGACATTCGGTAGTAAGAGAAATAATTAATGAGAAACGAAAATGATTTTAACTCATTTAATGGATTGAACAACTAGTATTATAAACTGCCTTTTGAATTGCAGATATAAAGTAATATATAAAGGAAATTTAAGAATAAAGAAAAAAATAATCTCTCAGTAATTGTCTTGACTTTCAATCGCCGTAAGTATCAGAATCACTCTATAGGCTCTTCGTGGACTGCTGAATCCTTAAGGACCTCCAACCTCTTCCTCCCCTCTCTAGCCTTTGCTATTTTCCTGATAAAATCCAAGGAATCCTCGGCTTCAGTTTCTGCAGCATGTGTTGCCTTCTTAGTTTTCTTTTTCTGCACTGTAGGCCGTTTAGATGATTCCTTCTTCTCCTGCGCAGAAGGTTTTCTGGGCGTTTTCTTCTTCCTTTGCTCGACTGGAACATTACTTTTCTCACCCTGTCCCCCTCTGGAATCAAATTGATTTCGCCTCCTCCCAGTCAAACTCTTCCTGTACTTGAGCAATGGCTGCCACTCCTGGTTACGTGTTGCTCGTTCACTGGGTAGTATCTCGTCCAGTGCTTTCAATACTTCATCTTTTCCCTCTTTCGACAATTTTACCGAGAACTCGGCAAGCACCTCCAAGTAGCCAATCCTTGGAGGAACGTCAGTATTCGGCACTTCGTTGTCTGGTACCGCCGTGACGTAATTTATCCCAGATAAATGAATCTGCATCACTTGTTCCTTATTTCTCGTTGTATCAATCCCCAGGTGTGCCATGAACCTCTTCGCCAGGGCAATGAGCCGACAGAAATCATCAGGATCAATAGTGTTACTCTCTATATTTGAATTCTCGTAAACAGTGATAAGAGTCATCGTAATCATTCTCATCCAGTTCATTTTATTGCGTGCCTTGGCCTTCATCAGAGTCATCTTGATGATGTCCCCATAATCATTATAAAAATCATTGTAATGCTTGAGGACTACACAGGACCAAGCTATTGGGAACACATCGCACATAAAAAGTTTACAGAAAGTCATGAGGATGTTTCTTCTGCTGCGGTACTCGTCGTCACTGTTGTCCTGGACGAAGACGTTCTTCTGCACGAAAACATTCAGAATGTCGAACATGGTACCATCAGGTTGGTAAATAATTTTATGAAGGAGAGGATTGGGGTTGTTCTGGAGCCCCGTTCGAAATACGACGAGAATATCACACACGCATTTAAATGCCTCAGTTCGAATTTCCAGAGAGGCCCCACTGTCTACTTCCAGGAAGTTTGTCGTGTCCTTGATGAATGCATCAAGTTTTTTCTTAAATTGTACAGCCTCCTGCTCCCCGCCAGCTCCCAAGGCTTCCTCCGAATCCAAGTGATTCCTCCCCCAGAGAAACAAGTAATAAACAGTATGCATGGCATGACAGAAACCATCCCCAAGATCATATAGGAAATTCTTCGACCAGTTGAAGATTCCGAAAGCAAATTCAAACATGTCGAAGTTCCTCATGTCATGGCAACTCACGAAAACAGCCACTTTCATCATCCACTCCACAACATTTTTCGTTATATCCTCCCGAAGTGTTTCTCCATGAGATATTGCTTCAATACAATCATTCATCGTTTTTTTATACTGTTCAATTATTGTGGACAGAATGTTGTCTCTTACGGTTATACATTGAGACAATTTGGGATGTAACTCAGAAGTGAAATACTCCAACGTCTTTGAAATAGCCCTGAGGGTATTGATATCAGTTGTCTCCTCGATGATTACATTTATTTCATTGAATAATTCTGGCAATTTACTCTCCTGGTGAGAAGTCACGTACATTTGAAGGTCGAAGTACTGAGGGACTACCAGGAGTTTCGATATTACTTCCCGATTATTCCTGAATTTAACCAGGAGCTGTGGAAGACTCTGGATGAAGTGTTCAGACAATTTTTGTTTATCAGAAAGTATTTTCTGCTGATCTCCGGCTGTCAATCTTTTCTTTCGTACCCTGCCAGGGGGGACCATCCCAGTGGCCGACTGCTGCACTGAAGCTACCATTATCTTCACGAGACTGATGATGCTATCTTCATTAAGATCATCATGAAGGAGGAGCTTCGTCATGGACTTCCAGTTCTGCAAACATTCGTTGTCATCGATCAGAGCGTCCACGAGATACGGAGCATGATCTGGAAGATCCGACTCTGTGAAGAACGCCACCAAATTAATCAGCAATGACCCATCCGTTTGGTCCTCCTCGGAATCATTTGAATCATCAGCACTGCAGACTGCTATAACAAACTCCCCAGATACCTTCGCCACATTCCTGTGTTTGCAGTATACCAACTGGTACATGATCTCGTGATCATCATTACTCAGAAGAGTTCTATAATTCTGATAAATGATTCCCATGAGCTTAACTCCTTCAACAGCTACTTCCGTGTCTTTATCTAGACAAATAGCAACGATGCGGTCCTTGAATTTCCTATTGAAATCATCGAGACGGTCATTAAGGTCTTCTGACTCGTAGATTGACTGCAGGATCTTCAGGCACTTGACCTTGAACTCAGGAGACGGGTCTGAGAGACCGTAACCGATGAACTTGAGGTTGGAAGCGTGTTTCAAGGGATATTTCTCCAGCCAAACCCCCAATTCCTCCAGACACAAGAGACGAATCTCAACGAGGGTGTCCGTAGTTCGTGGGCCAAATACATTATTCATAATAGCGACTATGGAATGAATGAGGATGGTTCTATTCTCTTGGAGTTCATTCTTCTTCGCCTGGAGGGATTCAATTCTTCCGATAGATCTTTCCGATGGAATTTTTTCTGTCTCTGATTTCAGCTGGCGATTATTATTGGCTTCGGTGGATTTCACGTTGGAATCGATCTCATTGAGGACTGTCACTAGGTTCAGTAGGATCAGGGTTGAGGTGTAGCGCAGGGCACGTACTGGAGAGGACGAGAAACTCGTAAGGGGAAGGGTGAGAGCGTTCAGGAGATTGCCATCGTAGATTATGGAGTTCTGACACTGCAGGAAGAGGACTCGGAGGAACTCGATAAAGTTGGAGGCGAAGGTTTTCCAAGTGATTGTATACATCTTCAGGGGGAAGTCTTTGCGGTGGTCGTAAAGTTCCTCAATCCTCTTCTGCGTAGCTTCAGTGAATTCGTTGAGGATTTGCGGGGTTATGGAGAAGGAGGAGCCACTCGCGTGGATGAAGAGCTCGAAGAGCTCTACTGTTGCAGAGACAGGATCTGTTTTGTACAATTCAATCCACTGAAATGCTATCGCTGGAAGATCTATGTCTGACTCCTTCAGGACGTTGAATAGACAATCCTTGTTCTGGGGGAGGGAGGGTAACATTGGAGAAAGACGACGCCGAGAGGATTTAGATTTGGGGCCTGGAGGAAGGGAGCTTGGCTCTGTTTCGTTTGATGAGCTCGACTCGGGGGTTGGGGAATCCTGAGGAGATGGACGAGCACGAAGGGATCTGCGAGACTCTGGAGAGGATGCAGAGGATGGAGAGGACTCAGAAGGATCTCGGGCAGATTCAAGGGACATCGTCTCGGAACTAAAATTGAAGGAAAGTGCTTAATGAAGTCATGGCGAAATTGGTTTGTTTATTTATCACTTACGAGGTTTTCTTGGTTTCTGCGTCGATGGGGAGTGAAGCATCGTCCACTTCCATTCTCTCCAGTTCTGCTCCACTGCTGTGCGGACGTTTAGAACGTCGAGTCATGACGAGTTTCCGAAATCCTCGAGAATGCCCGAGGAATAATTATGGAAACAACTTCTGCAGAGAAGATGATGGCGATTTTACCCGCCTTTTGAAAAGCTTTTGATAGTAAGAATTCGACGGTTGGAATGGACCAACCAAAATGGAATATTTCATGACACTCACGCCCCTTGTGGTGATTCACCAACTACTTTCAAATTCAAATTGAAATCACATTAATTTGCGAAGCATAAGCCGATATCCGTCTTGTAGATGATATTAGAAC